CAACATCTGATGTCATGCCCTGAGATTTTTAATTGACAATTTCTACAATCATAATTCCCATTGTTGTTTTTCATAATCTTTAGAAATATAATATTCGTATAGGCTATCCATCATTTCAAATAAGAGATAATGATCAAATTAATCACAAGGACATAGTGCTATGTTGACAGTGAAGGAATGCGTGTTAGAGAGACAGCGAGCTCTTCTAATCTTGACTATAAACCAAGATATTGTGACAATTTAAGCCTATCAGCCCCTTCACCTTTATAAATCTGGATGCATTATTGCGCATTTTACGCATAGATACAAATCATTATAAGAAGTTGTATTTTAGTATTCTTACGTTAACTCCTTCAGAAGAGCTTTGTCAATATTCCATTCATTCAATTTACATTCAATTAAAGTCATCAGGAAAATGCACGCTAGAGCTTCACAAGCTCCTGATGCCAAATTACGAATAATCAGAAACAGGTAAGGGCTCAATTTTCCAAATTGCCCACCAAAGCTGAAGGGCTCTCACGGTGCCACCTTCAACATGCGTTTTCACTTGCTGAGAACACGGAAGGAAAAGAAGGGGCCTGACTGTGAGGCAGTCTTAACCAATGGTAGGGCACGAGGGGGGGGTGATTGACGTAAGCTACTCATCCAATCAGCACAAACAAAACCCGTGCGTTGCAAACCCAGCCTGCTGGCTATATAAGCGACAATGACAGCTTGTAAATCCAGTCCGTTCGCTTACCGATCCGTCTACGAAGGAACAGAAAGAATACTAAAACCAACCTCTCAACGAAAGCACTGAACTTCTCGCTCGAAGATTCAATATGAAAGCAATAAGCCCAGTAAGATCTTTCCGGAAAAACAGCGCGAATCTGTCTGAACATAGTCTGGGAATCTCTCGGAGCAAGACTCCCGTGGATGATCCATTAAGCCTGCTTTACAACATGAACGACTGCTACTCTAAGCTGAAGGAGCTCGTGCCCAGCATCCCTCAAAACAAGAACGTGAGCAAGATGGAAATCCTGCAGCATGTCATCGACTATATTCTGGACCTGCAGATCGCACTTGACTCCAATGTCGCAATAACAAGCCTCCATCACCCGCGACCGGGGCAAGCGACATCCAGGACTCCCCTGACAACTCTAAATACAGATATCAGCATCTTGTCATTACAGGTAAGGATATTGTCTGAAATATCAGAAGAATATGAATATAAACAAAGACCATACATTTGGTTGGGTCTATTTAACCTATTGGCGTGCGCATTTTTAGTGCGTTTTAAATGCGCAATTGTGGTCTATTGTGAAATTACACCATTTGGTTACAAAAGGCATGTTATCCATTATCAGCATTGCGAGGGGAGGCATTTTTATGTGTAATCTCAATAATTCCACGTATTTGACTGCGGCGGTGCTAATGAACATATGTTTGTTTTTCAGTCTCCGGAGTTCCCATCAGAGCTGATAACAGATGACAGCAGGAATCTTCATCGTTAAAGCGGTAAGTACGCTATGTTATATCCCCTGTCTGTAGTATTATGTCTGGGGTTTACTTGCCTATTAGCCTACAGCCTGTTGTGGCAGAATACAACAAATACAAGTCGGTGCATATTTCTGACAGTAGGCTAATCATTATCTCATTGTTAACTGGTTCAATATTTGAACTGAATGCATTGCAAACATTTTTGCTATAGCGTGTAGGCAAATTCTTTGTTATTACGTTATAACGCACCTACGCTCATCTGTAATATAAAATAAATGGTTGTCTGGATTACTATTAGATGTCTGCACATAATTGGTGCAAGAAGAGGCCCAGCAGAACTGCATTTTCGGCTGATTCTCTCCGAGATAGTAGGCTGAAGTTGAGTGAGAAAGTGCCCTATGCTGAGTTAGAGTGTACATCTGGAGCCCAGGGTTTGCTCAGTATTCGAGTGTTTGGTTAAATTTTAAAACTGCGGCTTCCTCCCTGGCGCCAGTCTGTCCGGATCTCTGCCCTGTTTGCAGTTTCTAAACTCGCCTCTTTCTCAATCTTTTGCAGGTGTTTGGTTAAGACACAAAACACACAGGACCTGGGAACCGGACTTTTTTCCCTAAATTTTTGTCCTCGGGTTCTGGATTTTCTTCTTTAATTGAATCAAGAGACTTTGCTTATAAAGGACAATCTATGTGATGTGTTTTCAGTTCAGACACTCATATTATTTAACTTAAGACCTGTTTTGGTCCTTTCTTGAAATGGAAGTCGCGCTATACTCCCGACACAGGGAGAAAAACAAATAAGAGTGTCACAAGGATTTCCTCTTATCCCCCTTGAAGTCTTCGCTTTTTCTCCGGAGTTGGAGTGAATAGAAGACAACTTGGTTAGTTACTGTATATAGTTTAGTCTGTCTTGTCAGAATTGTTACTCTTCTTCGCACATGAAGGACTGGACGTTGTTAAAAAAAAAACAAAAAAAACAAAAGAACGCGTGAAACCTTGTGCACTCTATCGGAGTTTTATCTTGTATAGTTGCAGGAATTGCACATTTCTGCAAAAGTGTAATGCTGTACTTAAATATGCTGAAACTTTTTATAAAAGTAATAATGTAAATTGTACCTTTTTATACAAAAAATAAACAAATCAAATGCATTATTTGAGCATGTCTCCCTGCTGTATGGAAACTTGTAGCCTATAGACATACATTCTTGAGATTTGAGTTGCAAAAGGTAAAGGCTGACAATGTTCTGGCTGAAAATGGTTATGCAATGCCAGGTTGTTGTGATCATCTACAATCCCAAAATGAGTTTCAATTCCTGTGCGTTAACCAGCCCATGCAGTGGTAATGAAGTCAATGTAGTGGGAATGTCAATCTTTCATGACAGTTGTGTCAACTTAATGATTAAATGTAAAGAATGGTGAATTCCTGAGTGTCATTTCTTAGGTGCGCAATGGACAAGCTATACCATTGACTAAGTGCGTCATTTACAGTGAAACATTGCTCATTCACACAACGCTCTGTCTTCCTCATCTTGACAGTGTTCAGGAATTGAGACCTAATTCTACCTCAAACACGCAAGGATGGGGTAAACCCCCAGGGTGTACGCATATAGGACACTGGGCATAATGCGATTGTCTCACCTGTTCATAAAAGCTAGTGCAAATGTATTAAAAGCTGTTCTCCATTTTCAATCACAGAACATCTTCTATTGACAATATGATTCTGCATTAATCTGCTACTCACAAAGCTGTTAACTTCTAAAATAAACACTTCACCACTAATTGTCATTTTTAAATGGCCTGCCAGTGCTGATCATACTATTTTTGTAGAAAAACACAGACCCATAGGGCTACATTTCATGAATCTCAGGATGTCTGTGTTATGACAATATGATAATGATTAGACTACGCATTCATTTTTGTCTGAACGTGCGATGACACCATAAGGCAAACTACCTGGACACTGCTCTATGCTCAAGCCTAAACTATTGCTTTTAAAGCAGCACATTATTCCACTTTTACAGGTAGAATGACAAAGCACAGGTTCACCATTTCCCCACAAACTGGAAAGCTCAAGTTCCTTTACACAGAGGAGTAAACTCTTAAGTGTGCCCAACATACGAAGGGAAGGGCTTCGAATAGGATGAAATAGATTGGCTACGGTATTATGCATATGAATTATACTTCATATGTATATTATGACAACTTGGCCTTCAAATCAGGTTTTCCCACAAGTGGAAGTTCATGCCCATGGTTCAGTGATGCTGGCTAGGACATTGTCTTCTTTGGCCTAATGCGGGTTTGTATGGAGAATCTGCCACCTACTGGTGAAAATAAAGTCCAGCTGACTCCAGCTAATGCAATTATGTCTTAACCCTTTCTATATGGCAGGGTTTCCCAATGTCGGTCCTGCCCCCCGATTTAAAATGCGGTGTACTGCTAGGGCAAAAACCGAAACGGGGGGTGGGCAGGACCCGACTTTGGGAAACCCTGCTATGTGGGAGTATGGGAAATTGTGTTAATTAAATAATGAACAACAAACGAGTCAACTTGAGCTCATAGGAAAAGTAGAGTTCAAGGGATGGGAAGCATGTTATGAACTGTTATATTTTATACAGGAAGTTAAAAATGCTTCTGACAGCCAAGATGTTTATTGTTTCACAAAAACATGGCTTCACATTGCACTCTGAAAAAGACTAAGATCCTCAGAGACATATCAGTAGTGCATGGAACACACTTTTTCCTATCACAGAAAGTCCAGGAGGTTTACCACACTGTTCACATAGATTTTAAATCTTTAATTACAGCACAAAACAGATTCTTGGGCAAATAGACCTTTCCATCACAAATATGGAAAAAAGGTGTCACAATACAAATTCACAGCAATACTACACCAAATAACTCATGTTTGAACATGGCACATTTTCACTGGTAGCCTACTTGATAACTAAGTTTTCCTCAATTCTAGTTAAGCACAAAGCCAATTAAGATTTTTCAGTAACCTATAACAAAGTACAGTATACAAAATTGCACCAACATACACCACTACTGTACTGTCACCATCACTACACCAAAACACAACATTCATACGGACACACAAACAATCACATCACAACTCACTACCATTTTCCAACAGCAAACGTGAACATGACAGCACAACACCTGATTGAACTACAGGGCCATTTCAATTGGACTTTGATTCCATATTAGTATGACGTCATGAACTTTCAAATTATTTCACAAAATGTATCCTGAGTTCTTGATGTATTTTTGGTTTGTCTACAAGCCAGGACATTCATTTCTTCAACCCAATTTATTTAATATTTTTATGATTGGCAAAAATGTGATCCCCTTCGTTTTAATCGATGCTTACTGATCTGCATATCAACTCTGGGTGAATGCTGTAACAACCTTCAGTCTTTTAAAAACTAAATTACAGATGAATAGGCCTTTATTTTTTTGTAGCACATCACAACATCAAACATCAAGCAACATCTAAGGGACCTCAAAAAAGGCCTGGGCCCCTCACAGGACACTCTCTCTCTCGTCCTCCAGGATAATGGCATCAGGGGCCCCTGTGTGGCCCTCAAGGGCCTCCCCGGTGCTCAGTGCCCTCTTGAGGATGATCCCACGCAGGTTCTGGTTATGGACAGGCCCAGTGGTGGAGTCAGTGCTGGAGCGTGGGGTGGAGCTCTCTGTGTCTTGGTTGTCTTGGCTGGTGTTGGTGGTGGCAGCGTTGTTGCTACTGTTGTTGTTGAGCGTGGTGGTACTGGAGGCGCGGTTGAGGTTGCTCATGGACAAGCTGGCGGGGAACCAGGTTTCGTCGGGGCTGGAGGCCATCAGGCTGCCCTCGGATGGGGCCTCGGAGCAGATGGACATGCGGGCGATGGTGGAATCGTGGAGGCCACTCAGACTGCTGGGCAGCAGGCCCCTCTCCTTTACCAGACCTTCTAGCTCCAGCTCTATCAGGTTGGGTTTATTAACCTCTTCGGCTTCCACTAGGGAGTGGTCCGAGGAGCTCTCGCCAGACCTCAACCCCGAGTCGGACGAGTCCTTCTTGTCCAGGGCTATGTCGGATGTCGCTTGGGCGCCCCCCTCCTTCCCTTCTTCCTGGAGCAGAGGGGTGTTGTCTGATTCCTCCGTCCCTGACTCCTCATCACTGGGGACATTGTGGTATCGAGGCCCTGCTCCCTTCACCTTGGAGCCCCCTGCTTTGGAGGCGCTGGAATACAGCTTCTCGTCCTCTTCGCTGATGGGGTCCAGGGGGGCATCTGTAATCGACCGCATCCATAGCTTTAGCCCCTCTCTTGGTGGGGAAAGAGGGCTTGCGGCCCTCCTGCTCGGTCCCGTCTTTGGCCTTTTCCTCTGGGTCTCTGACCTCTCGGCTCTGGAGGAACTGGCCCGGGTGGGGCTGGACGGGCTTCTCTCCCCCGCTTCCGGCCACGTCCAGCTGGGTCATCTGGGTGATGTACTCGCGGTAGGCGTCGCGATACTCTGCCTGCTGCTTGTCCGTCAGCTTGCAGATGTCGTTGGATGACTCCTGGGAGTTGAGGCTGGACATGCTGGGGGTGCGGTGGGTGGCCGCCTGGGGGTGGGAAGGAGAGGGTAACGTGCAGTATAAAGGTTTTTGTTATGGTTGAGGGGGGAACGGGATGCGCCATGGACGTTATTGGTTTGGGTAAAGGGGTGAGAAAGCACAATCTCATGAGGTTTGTGGTCATGGTGGTGCTGTTTGACTTTACAATGCTTTATTTACAGGCAAACAACAGCACTGCAAGCCACCAAATAACTAGTAATGACAATAAAAAACTGACAGCCATGCTAGAGAAGTTTATGTTTGCGTATATGTTAGCATGTTGGCAGTTGAGAGCAGAGAGGGCAAAAATAACAGCTTTTCTAACACCCTGCCTTGCCCTTTGGTGGTGTGAGTCTGTGTATGTGTGATCAGCCACGTCAACGTCCTCAACCAGGGGAGGTCAAAACTGCCATCATCTCACCCAAAACCACATGCTAATTTAGCTCTGATGAGTTCAATGACTGCTTGTGTAAGTGTATACAGTGCCTAGTGAAAGTCTACACACCCATTGCACAGTCTTCACATCTTGCTGCCTTAAATGTTTATCTAAAAAGGGATTAAACTGGATATTTTCCATACAGATCTACACAACCTGCTCAACATTTTCAAAAAATGCTTTTCCAACAGTCTTGAAGGAGTTCCCACATATGCTGAGCACTTGTTGGCTGCTTTTCCTTCACTCTGCGGTCCAACTCATTCCAAACCATCTCAATTGGGTTGAGGTCGGGTGATTGTGGAGGCCAGGTCACCTGATGCAGCACTCCATCACTCTCCTTCTTGGTCATATAGCCCTTACACAAGAACAGCTCAAATAAGCAAAGTGAAACGACAGTCCATCATTACTTTAAGACATGAAGGTCAGTCAATACGGAACATTTCAAGAACTTTAAAAGTTTCTTCAAGTGCAGTCGCAAAAACCATCAAGCGCTCTGATGAAACTAGTTCTCATGAGGACCGCCACAGGAATGGAAGACTCTGAGTTACCTCTGCTGCAGAGGATAAGTTCATTAGAGTTACCAGCCTCAGAAATTGCAGCCCAAATAAATGCTTCACAGAGTTCAAGTCACAGACACATCTCAACATCAACTGTTCAGAGGGAACTGTGTGAATCAGGCCTTCATGGTCGAATTGCTGCAAAGAAACCACTACTAAAAGGACACAAATAATAAGAAGAGACCTGCTTGGTCCAAGAAACACGAGCAATTGACATTAGACCGGTGGAAATGTGTACTTTGGTCTGGAGTCCAAATTTGAGATTTTTGGAATGCCTCCAGGCTGTGTAAGGGCTATTTGACCAAGAAGGAGAGTGATGGAGTGCTGCATCAGATGACCTGGCCTCCACAATCCCCCGACCTCAACCCAATTGAGATGGTTTGGGATGACTCGGACAGCAGAGTGAATGAAAAGCAGCCAACAAGTGCTCAGCATACACTACCGTTCAAAAGTTTGGGGTCACTTAGAAATGGCCTTGTTTTCGAAAGAAAAGCAATTTTTTTGTCCATTAAAATAACATCAAATGGATCAGAAATACAGTGTAGACATTGTTAATGTTGTAAATGGCTATTGTAGCTGGAAACAGCTGATTTTTAATGGAATATCTACATAGGCTTACAGAGGCCCATTATCAGCAACCATCAGTCCTGTATTCCAATGGCACGTTGCGTTTGCTAATCCAAGTTTATCATTATCAAGGCTAATTGATCATTAGAAAATACTTTTGCAATCATGTTAGCACAGCTGAAAACTTTTGTGCTTATTAAAGAAGCAATAAAACGGGCCTTCTTGAGACAAGTTGAGTATCTGGAGCATCAGCAATTGTGGGTTCGATTACAGAATCAAAATGGCCAGAAACAAAGAACTTTCCTCTGAAACTCGTCAGTCTATTCTTGTTCTGAGAAATGAAGGCTATTCCATGCGAGAAATTGCCAAGAAACTGAAGATCTCGTACAACGCTGTGTACTACTCCCTTCACAGAACAGCACAAACTGGCTCTAACCAGAACAGAAAGAGGAGTGGGAGGCCCTGGTGCACAACTGAGCATGAGGACAAATACATTAGAGTGTCTAGTTTGAGAAACAGACGCCTCACAGGTCCTCAACTGGCAGCTTCATTAAATAGTACCCGCAAAACACCAGTCTCAACGTCAACAGTGAAGAGGCGACTCCGGGATGCTGACCTTCTAGGCATCGTTGCAAAGAAAAAGCCATATCTCAGACTGGCCAATAAAAATAAAATATTAAGATGGGCAGTCTGAGATATGGCCTTTTCTTTGCAATTCTGCCTAGAAGGTCAGCATCCCGGAGTCGCCTCTTCACTGTTACAATGGGCCAAACAAGCTGTAGCTAGCTACAAACCAATGATGTTATTTTAATGGACCAAAAAATTGCTTTTCTTTTCGAAAACAAGGACATTTCTAAGTGACCCCAAACTCTTGAACGGTAGTGTATATGGGAACTCCTTCAAGACTGTTGGAAAAGCATTCCAGGTGAAGCTGGTTGAGAGAATGCCAAGAGTGTGCAAAGCTGTCATCAAGGCAAAGGGTGGCTATTTGAAGAATCTCAAATATTAAATATATTTTGATTTGTTTAACACTTTATTGGTTACTACATGATTCCATATGTGTTATTTCATAGTTTTGATAGTCAAATAGTCAAAATAAAGAAAAACCCTTGAATGAGTAGGTGTGTCCAAACATTTGACTGGTACTGTATGTCGTCACACCTCAAATCAATACTTGGTGGAAGCACCTTTGGTAGTCATTACAACTGTTAATAATTTTTTTATACAATTCTACCAACCTTGCACAACTCTTAGCGCAACATAATCCATTGATTTTGTCAAAATTGCTCAAGCACAGTACATTTGGTTGGGAATCATTAATGGACAGCAATATTCAAACCTTGTCTCTGATTTTCAAATAGATTTAAGTCAGAACTGAGACTGGGCCATTCAGGAACACTGAACACCTCTTGAAAAGTCATTCTGGTGTCTTAGGCATTAAAATGTGTGCAATCGTCCCGCTAAAAAATTAAAAACTCTATCCCAGGGTAAGGTTTTCAGAAGACCAAGGTGGGTTTTCCTCTAACTTTTTACCTTTGCTCCTTTAATATTTATTTTGATCCTGACAAACTCCCCAATCCCTTGCGGTGACAAGAGTATACCCATAACATGATGCTGCCACCACAATACTAGAATATACAAAGGGATCAACAACATTACATTCACTCCTCATTACCGGCCTATTTGACAAAGTAAAAAGAAGGAAACCTGTATTATAAGAATCTACTTCAAATCATCCATTCGGTTTGCAACAATGCCGTTTAATAATACTGCAAGACAACACAGCAAAGAAATTAAGTTTTGGGCCTAAATTAAAAACTATAGGTTGGGGTCAAATCCAATCCAACACATAGTGAAACCCTCTGTTTTTCAAGTATTGTGGTGACAGCATTATGTTATGGGTATGCTTGTCACTGGCAGGGACTGGTGAGTATGCCAGGATCAAAAGAAATATGAAAAGAGCAAAGCCCAGGTAAAAAGTTACAGGAAACCCGCCACAGTCTTCTAAAACCTAAGCCTGGGATAGAGTTTTACTTACACAATTACACACATTGTAATGCCAAAGACACACCAGAATGGCTTTCCAAGAAGTGTTGAGTGTTCCTAAGTGGTCCAGTCTCAGTCCTGACTTAAATTTGCTTGAAAATCAGAGAAAATGTTTGAATATTGCTGTCCATCAATGGTTCCCAGTCAAAGTTACTGAGATTGAGCAATTTTGACAAAAACAATGGATATACAGTATAATGTTAGCAATGGATATCTGCAAAAGTGTTTCTACTGCTCTCAACAACATTGTTGCCCAGAATTTAGCAGGCGCTATCGACAAAGATCAGTGGGAAAAAGTTGTGATGGACTACTTTTCTGCAGAAGGTCAGTGTGAACTGGAGTGATTTGACAAAACAATGGGCCAAACAAGCTGTAGCTAGCTACAAACCAAACAGAAAAGACACTGCTGTGAAGCGTTCACTTATGTATACAGGTAAGAATCTAGCTACATTTTCAGATATTATACGTTTCAAATTCTGTCAGAAAGTCATTTTCATTGCAAGTTAAAGTGTACTGTTAGCTAGCTAGCTAACATTGAACCTAGTTGGTTAGCTTTAGCTACCTGCAGATTCATACTCCAGCAGTTCATGCATAGTGGCTAGCTATGACAATTCGTTTGTACCGTAGCTATGGGTTGGGATTATGGTTCATTGTTTAGCTACTAGCTATATGTCAAAACAAAAGACTCCACTTTGCAAGATAATTATTCAATTACCCATCAAGCCAGGTGTGTCTGGGGGTGATTAGTGGTTCTCTGTAGCTCAGCTGGTAGAGCACGGCGCTTGTAACGTTAAGGTAGTGGGTTCGATCCCCGGGACCACCCATACACAAAAAAATGTATGCACTGTAAGTCGCTTTGGATAAAAGCGTCTGCTAAATGGCATATTATTATTATATTATTATTACGGCCATCTATTGTATTTCATGAACATGTGTACATGTCTAGACAATAGTGACCCATCCACTTAGCTAGATGTGGCTGGGGGGGGTGGTTATAGCATTTCTTTCACATGACCCATCAATTTAGACAAGTGTCTGGGTAAGCATCATCTAATGATTATAAAATATTTGTATCTGGACACTTTCAAAGTCAGATTAGGATATAGGCCAAGGACTAGATAAAGTGTAGTCTTTCCTTATTGTAGGCTACTACTTTCACCACTTTTAGTCTTGAAATCTTTGGTTGTTTACTACACTACTCACTCTATTTAGCACATGGCCTCACATGTGAATCCTTAAAGAGATGGGTGGGGCTAAGGATTAAGAGGGTGTAAACGTTGCTGAATAGGTGTAGACAAAGAAGAGCTCTCCAGTAGGTGTACCAAAACATTTTCTCAAAAGTGGGGTTACAAGTTTATCAACTTTCAAAGCAGAATTACTTTCCCATTGCTCCTCAACTGCAGTTTATGATATACAATTTTCTACTTTAGTTTGGAACATTTCTATAATTCTACTTTGAAAATGTGGAGTAGGTTGTGCAGATCTGTAGTTATTTTTTATTTTATTTTATTTTAAGGCAGCAAAATACGAAGACTGTGCAAGGGGTGGGTAGACTTTCACTAGCAACTGTATTTGCATATTTGACTGCTTACATGTCCTCTTTAAGGGTGTTTGGAAGGCTTGGCATGTTTGTATTTCTGTGGGTATGTGAATGTGTTTATCTGTGCTCAGTACATGAGTCTATGAATGTACTGCATGTGTAAATGTGTGTTTGTGTATGTACCGTATTTATCAATGTGTGTGTGTGTATGAGTGTACGTATATGTGTACGTGTGTGTGTGTGTGTGTGCGTGCATGTGCGTATGTGTATACGAGTGGGAGTGTGTGTATTCAACTCACCACGGGCCAGTGCTGAGTGGGTCTCGGGGGCTCCTCCAGACCCAGGCCTACGTTACTGAGCTCCTCGAAGCTGAGGTTCAAGCTGTAGCTGCCCACCTCATGGGGAGCTCCCTGGTGCCTGGCCGTCTCCACGTTGACCACGCTGCTGCCCTGCTCGCTGGCCGCACGAGACTCCTCCTGCAGGGCCTGGCTCTCCCCGTGACGCTGCTCCATCACCTGGGAGAGGGGAGAGGGGACTGTTAGAGAGAAAAGCATACAGCCAGCCGCGTGCGGAGCAAACATGTCACCCCAAGGTATAGATAGACTCAACATAGGAAATATCCACAAGCTACAGAGCCAATATACAGTATAACCACTAGCTATGAAACCAACATACAACCACTAACTCTATAGAACCACACACAACCAATAGGAATAGATTCAGCACACTGCATCTACCAGCTCTTTACCTAACATATAGTCTACCATCAGCTGCTGTAGGAAGCCAATACATAACCATCATCTTAATACTTTAGAAACACAAAGTCAGTACTAGTATTTTAGTTCAATAGATGGTGAGTACATCTGATGACAACGTTCACACTCAAATGAATTCTGTTAAACTCTATAGGGCCTATATGCATACAGTTAGTGGTCCGGTCTCCACATCAGATGGCTTGGGATGTGCTCAGAAGAGGGAAAAATTCAATTTCTTGTAAAACCGTGCAGCTATTCAGAGTCAGACCCCTCGACTGCATGGAGACTGGCTGACTGCAGCTCCCACTGACAATAACCTTCCTTCATCTAAATCTCAGCCATCTTGGACCAGATGGCTGGCTGGCTGGCCACGTTCTGGCAACACAACATTCGTTTGTGGAAGGAGGCACAAACGGACATCTGATCAACGCAAGCTACATGTGTTCCTGATTCCAGCCCCCCGAGCGAGCGGAGCAGACTCCAGACTTTCTCGTAATACGGATTATAAAATCCTCCGATGTCTCCAGAGAGGGCTCAAGATGTATTACAAGATGCCCTGATTTTTTAGAAGACAAAAAAAACAACGCACAAAACACAAATCCGGTGAATAGAAATCAGGACACTGATATTAATGTACACATAAAATAAATAAAAGAAGGATGTTGAGTATTTAAAAGTGGAGGTGGAGGTTTTGTCTTACCATGCCTCTGAAGAGTTGCCAGTCGCCAAAGTTCATGTTCATCTCTTTTTTCAGCTCTTCCAGGTTGCATTGAGACAGCACCCGGCCATTCACATTGGCCTAACATGGAGAGAGAGAGGCAGAGACATGATCACAGTTGATCAAATACAGGCACATTGGGCCGGTTCGGACACAGATAATATAATATATATAATATAATATAAAGCCTAATCCTGGACTAAAAAGCCTAATCCTGGACTAAAAAGCACTATCAATGGAGATTCTCCATCAAGCTTGCTTTTTATTTAAGGATTAGGCTTAATCTGTGTCTGGGAAGCTAACCCATACTGTATAAATTAGGGCATAAGTAGGCATAAATTGAGTAAAGTAGGCCCATATGTATAAGTTGGAAAAGACGGGACAAGGAGGCTAAAGTAGGCGCATTTAGAGGTTGGGCAAGTAGGGCCATGTGCTCAAGTAAGGCAAAATAGAGACATTTGGAATCCCTTCTGATGGTATAACGAAACTCGTATTTAACAGTAGTCCTGGGCTAAAGCCATGTCTAAAGCCTCAATTCCAAAGGTACACATGTATGAACTCTACATTGCTATACTTTTCTCAGTTCTGCACCTCACAGAACAATAAATACTTTCACATAAAGACAATGTCTCACTAGAAGTGTTGTTAAGTGGGCCAACTGTGGTCTAGAGGAATTGATATATAGCCTAGACATTAATGACATCCTGTCTAAATGGACTGGAAGCTCAATGCAGACATCAACTTTGGCTGTTTTGTTGGGCCATATGAAGCTATATTTTTTAGTAGAATTTTTTTATTATATTATTATATATATATTTATTTTATTTATTATTTTTGTACCCCCTTTTTTTTGTACCCCCTTGTCTAATTGCTGCAACTCCCCAACAGGCTTGGGAGAGGCGAAGGTGGAGTCATGAGTCCTCCGAAACATGACCCGCCTAACCGCGCTCCTTAACACCCGCCAGCTTAACCCGGAAGCCAGCCGCACCAATGTGTCAGAGGAAACATCGTTCAACTGGTGACCGGGGTCAGCCTGCAGGCACCCGGCCCGCCACAAGGAGTCGCTAGGGCACGATGAGCCAAGTAAAGCCACCCCAGCCAAACCCTCCCCTTACCCGGACGACGTCCTATGGGACTCAAGGCCACGGCCGGTTGTGGCACAGCCCGGGAATGAACCCGGGTCTGTAGTAACGCCTCTAGCACTGCGATGCAGTGCCTTAGACCGCTGCGCCACTCGGGAGGCCCGGGCCATATAAAGCTGATACAGGTCATTATTAAAAGGCCCAGTGCAGTCAAAGATGAGATTTTCATGTGTTTTATATACACTATATATACACAAAAGTATGTGGACACCCCTTCAAATTTGTGGATTCTGCTATTTCAGCCACACCCATTGCTGAAAGGTGTATAAAATCGAGCACAAAGCCATACAATCTCCATAGACAAACATTGCCAGTAGAATGGCCTTACTGAAGAGCTCAGTGACTTTCAATGTGGCACCGTCATAGGATGCCACCTTTCCAACAAGTCAGTTCGTCAAATTTCTGCCCTTCTAGAGCTGCCCCGGTCAACTGTAAGTGCTGTTATTGTGAAGTGGGAACGTCTAGGAGCAACAACGGCTCAGCCACGAAGTGGTAGGCCACACAAGCTCACAGAACGGGACTGCCGAGTGCTGAAGCGCGTAAAAATTGTCTGTCCTCGGTTACAACACTCACTACCGAGTTCCAAACTACCTCTGGAAGCAATGTCAGCACAATAACTGTTAGTCAGGAGCTTCATGAAATGGGTTTCCATGGCCGAGCAGCTGCACAGAAGCCTAAGATCACCATAAGCAATGCCAAGTGTCGGCTGGAGTGGTGTAAAGCTCGACGCCATTGGACTCTGGAGCAGTGGAAACGCATTCTCTGGAGTGATGAATCACGCGTCACCATTTGGCAGTCCGACGGACAAATCTTGGTTTGGCGGATGCCAGGAGAACGCTACCTGCCCCAATGCATAGTGCCAACTGTAAAGTTTGGTGGAGGAGGAATAATGGTCTGGGGCAGTTTTTTATGGTTCGGCCTAGGCCCCTTAGTTCCAGTAAAGGGAAATCTTAATGCTACAGCATAGAATTACATTCTAGACGATTCTGTGCTTCCAACTTTGTGGCAGGAGTTTGGGGAAGTCCCTTTTCTGTTTCAGCATGACAATGCCCCCATGCACAAAGCGAGGTCCATACAGAAATGGTTTGTCAAGATTGGTGTAGAAGAACTTGACTGGCCTGCACAGAGCCCTGACCTCAACCCCATCAAACACATTTGGGATGAATTGGAATGCCGACTGCCAGCCAGGCCTAATCGCCCAACATCAGTGCCCGACCTCACTAATGCTCTTGTGGCTGAATGGAAGAAAGTCCCCGCAGCAATGTTCCAACATCTAGTGGAAAGCCTTCCCATAAGAGTGGAGGCTTTTATAGCAGCAAAGGGGGGACCAACTCCATATTAATGGCCATGATTTTGGAATGAGACGTTTGAATGGCAGGTGTCCACATACTTTTGGTCATGTAGTGTATATTTCCACCTTATGAGGTTGGAATAATACTGTGAAATTGTGAAAATTATGATAATGCCCTTTTAGTGTAAGATCTGATGAAAAGATTGCCTGAAACTGCAGCCTGTTTTGGTGGGATGGTGCTTTGGCCTGCCTAGTGAAATCATCTGGTGGTAAATTAGTTAATAGGCCAATAAGAAAGTTCCAAACCTCTCTGCCAATAACAGCTAGTTTTCAGTTTTCCCCTCCCCACTCAGACCACTCCCAGACAGTCCTAGCACAAGTCTTGCTTGAGAAATTGCTCTTTGCTAAGAAGCTATTTTTGTTTCTGTTTGACCATTTTAATTGAAAGCAATCACAGTAAGGTACGTAATTGTTAACCAGAATTTATTTGATACTGAGATAAAAACAGCTGCATTGGACCTTTAATAGACAAAAATTAAACCCTTGGTTGTTGCTCAATATGCATGCTACCATGCTCCACACTCTCATGCTGCGAGTTCGTTCTCTGAGGACTTTCGAGTACATACAAATTAACATTTGAGAAGCAATGCGCACTCCCGTGCTAATGCATTACCTTTGAACAATACAAACTAAACAAGATAACTACATAAAGCAAATGTGAGCTTGTAACTTAATAATTATCAGCTAGCTATATGTGAATCCCAATAATCTAGCTAGCCAGCTAGTTTTACTTGTACAAATGACCTACAACTAATGTTGTTATGAAAGGCAGCTGGCCAACGTTAGCTACAAATTCTTCATGGGAAGCTAGCTAGCAACCAATTATTTGTTAGTTAGCTTGCTGTCTACACACACTACAGTGGATATTCTAGGCAGTTAAACATGCCAAAATGAACACAGTATGTATTTATTAACGTATCAATATAAAATTCAGGCAACATGGTATTTTACCAAATAGGGCTATCTTCTGTATCCCCACCCCCCACCCCCCGTCACAACACAACTGATTGGCTAAAACCATTAAGAAGGAAAGAAATTCCACAAATTAACTTTTAATAAGGCACACCTGTTAACCTGTTAATTGAAATGCATTCCAGGTGACTACCTCATGAATCTGGCTGAGAGAATGCCAAGAGTGTGCAAAGCTGTCATCAAGGCAAAGAGTGAATCTCAAATATATTTTGATTTGTTTAACACTTTTTTGTTTACTACATGATTCTATGTGTTATTTCATAGTTTTTTGATGTCTTCACTATTATTCTACAATGTAGAAAATTGTAAAAAATAAAGAAAAACCCTTGAATGAGTAGGTGTTCTAAAACTTTTGACCGGTAGTGTATGCAATGTGAGTGGGAAGCATTTCAGTCCGAAGTCGGAGTTCATTTTCTCTCCCTTTAGCTCAAAACCAGACGGCATTGTTTCAAGAAATGTTGAGTTGTATTTTATGTGGTTGCATCATATTACGTCAACAATCATGGGAATATTTCAGTTGAAGCTTGCATCAATGCATGCTTAGAAAAGTATGCATCTGAGAATTGCCCTCTGTTCTCCGTTACGCATACTTTGATTTGGACTCATACTCCAACTGTTCTGTGCTCCAATTTGCGTGCTCGGAGCACGGTAGTATGCATATTGAGAAACACCCCTTGTGTGGAATGGATACCCTGACATGACTGATATTTAATCTTTTGAATCAACTTTATTGACAGAAGTGTTGTATAAGCAAACGTAGGAGGGGCTATGTGGGTGTAGGAGGCTATGAGTGTGTAAAAGGCTGAGTGTGTGTATATGAGGGCTGTGTGTGTGAGACAGTGTGTATAGTGTGAAAAATGTATGCACTCACTAACTGTAAGTCGCTCTGGATAAGAGCGTCTGCTAAATGACTAAAATGTAAAAGTATAGCAGGCCTCACCTTCTTGATGGTGGCGGTGTACTGGCCCAGCATGCTAGGGTCCATGCCGTCGATGTGTTTGACGCGCTCACACACCGCGTCCGTGTTAAGAGAGCTGAGGAGTATCACAGGGGCGCCTGGTACCCCAGAGCCAGAAACCTGTCACACACACACACACACAGACAGACAGAATCAACCTTTGACTAAGTAGCGTAGCATGGATAATTTACAACCACTGCAAACTCATACGGTTAGCGCAACGCTTCAAGAACCACAGAATAGCGTTACAACAACCACAGCTACGTTAATATGAATGAAGGTTAACACTGGAGTATCTATTCACTGCAACCAGGAACACTATTCCCTTTTTCACAGCATGGTACAAAGACAAAAGAGCAAGCAAATCCAAATGCAATTATCTTTGTTAGTGCAAGCACCTGTGAGGTAACAATACAAGGGCATGGTCACTAAAGTGGCACCAGATGTGCAATATGGGCTCTGTTGGGGGTCTTTATGTTGATCTGAACACACTGTAGATGGTAGTGCAGTATTCACTGTACACACGAGCCGTATGTGTGTGTGTGTGTGTGTCTCCCCCCCCCTCATATAAGCTAGAAGAGTAGCCAATATCCTCGCCCCCCTAATGATCTCAAACCAGAGACTCCCAGCTAGCCTGACATGCCACCCACTAGCAGTGAAACAAAACACAACTCAACAACCCTCCCTCTCCTCCCTCCCTCCCTCTGCTCTCTCTCTCTCTTTCGCTCTAATAATACCACTAGGACATGGTTTCAGACTGAGCAACAACAAAACAACAGCTTTGTAGACATGGGCGAGAAGGCGGCGAGGCTTAGAAGATGTCTGTGCTTGCTCTCTCGCTGCGAGTGCTTGTTAGAGAAAATAAGATGTAGACGTCTTAACAGAGCCGAGCAGAACGGGTGGGTTAACTGTAGTCGCTCTGTGAAAGAAGGCATGAGAGAGGGTGAAAGTCACTTGAGAATGTTAGCTACTGTACACAGACCGTGCTGAAGGAGTGTAGCATACTGCTGTATCAGCTGCACTTTCACTAATAGTGTGTGTGTGTAGCTATAGCAGTCAATACTTGCTGTAACACACTATCTGCCTGTCTGCTATGCAAAGGAACAAGTATCAAAGGAACATAGACAACTTTACCTGTTGAGTTTCATAGACATTTCTTGTGTCAGTTTGATTAGCATGCCCCTGCAGCCTTGTTCATTAAAAGCACCAGAGAGATCAAATACATTTACATTTACATTTTAGTCATTTAGCAGACGCTCTTATCCAGAGCGACTTACAGTTAGTGAATACATATTTTTTATTTTATTTTATATTTTTTTTATACTGGCCCCCCGTGGGAATCGAACCCACAACCCTGGCGTTGCAAACGCCATGCTCTATCAACTGAGCTACATCCCTGCCGGCCATTCCCTCCCCATACCCTGGACGACGCTGGGCCAATTGTGCGCCGCCCATGATATCTTGTAGACTGTAGAGCTCCTCAATAATGATGGCCCAAATGATTTCTGCTTCTTAGGGGTAGAAATTAGACTACTTGACAGGCATTTCGAATCATGCTCCTAAATTGAGTCTCAACTAAAAGTTGTGTTGAACTCAACTAGAAGTAGGATTCATAATACATGCGTTGGATGACCTAGAAGAGGCCTCCGTTCTATAACTATTGTACATTCAACTAAAACTACATTCAACTAGATAAAACTACATTATCTAGAAGAAAAGATATGCCACTATCTAGAATCAAAAGATAACATCTGTGGAGGTGGGCTACATGGAAGGTGGGTGGAGGTTCTTGTCTAGGTTTCTAATGCATGCTGGGTGAAGGGAAAAGCATGACGTGTTATATTAGCTGGTGGAGGTAAGGTAGAAAGGTGGCGAGAAAGTTAGAGACAGTGAAATCCAAAGAGTTGAGTGTACCTGCTTGGGTCTGAAAGGCTGTGACAAGAACTGCTTTGGGAGAGAAAGCAAGGCAGAGAGACAGAGAGACAGAGAGGCATAGAGGCAGAGAGGCAGAGAGACAGAGAGGCAGAGAGGCATAAAAAGAGCAGGACAGAGGCAAGAGGCAGAGAGGCATAGACGAAAGACAGAGAGACAAGAGAGGAGGACAGAGAGGCAGAGAGAAGGACAGAGAGGCATGAGAGAGGCGAGGAGAGACAGAGAGAAAAGGCAAGAGAGAGGCAGAGAGGACAGAGAGCTGGAAGGGCAGAGAGGCATAGAGACAGAGAGGCATAGAGAGACAGAGAGGGCAGAGAGGCAGAGAGACGAGGAGAACAGAGCAGAGAGAGACAGAGAGGACAGAGAGGCAGAGAGACAGAGAGACAGAGAGGCATATGACAGAAGACAGAGGCAGAGAGACAGAGAGGCATAGAGACAGAGAGGCAGGATGAGAGACAGAGAGAGCAAGAGGAGAAGCAAGAGACAGAGAGGCATAGAGCAAGAGACAGAGAGGCATAGAGACAGAGACAGAGAGGCAGAGACAGAGAGACAGAGAGGCATAGAGACAGAGAGAAGAGCAGAGGACAGAGAGAAGGACAGCATAGAGGCATAGAGGCATAGAGGCAGAGAGACAGAGAGGCAGAGAGGCATAGAGGCATATAGAACATAGAGGCATAGAGACAGAGAGGCAGAGAGGCAGAGAGACAGAGAGACAGAGAGACATAGAGGCATAGAGACAGAGAGGCAGAGAGGCAGAGAGGCAGAGAGACAGAGAGACAGAGAGGCAGAGAGAGCAGAGAGGCATAGAGGCATAGAGACAGAGAGACAGAGAGGCATAGAGACAGAGAGGCATAGAGACAGAGAGACAGAGAGACAGAGAGGCATAGAGACAGAGAGACAGAGAGGCATAGAGGCATATAGACAGAGAGACAGAGGCAGAGAGACAGAGAGGCATAGAGACAGAGAGACAGAGAGGCATAGAGGCAGAGAGGCATAGAGGCATATAGACAGAGAGACAGAGAGGCATAGAGACAGAGAGACAGAGAGGCAGAGAGACAGAGAGGCATAGAGGCATATAGACAGAGAGACAGAGGCATAGAGACAGAGAGACAGAGAGACAGAGAGGCAGAGAGGCAGAGAGGCAGAGAGACAGAGACAGAGAGGCAGAGAGGCAGAGAGGCATAGAGACAGAGAGGCATATATACAGAGAGGCATAGAGACAGAGAGGCAGAGAGGCAGAGAGGCAGAGAGACAGAGAGACAGAGAGACAGAGAGGCATAGAGACAGAGAGGCATAGAGACAGAGAGGACAGAGAGACAGAGAGGCATAGAGACAGAGAGGCATAGAGACAGAGAGGCATAGAGACAGAGATACACATCAGACTAGAAAATAAGACATTTATCTTGAAACACAGCAGGCAAAGGCACTTTTACAGCATTCCATGAAGCAAAGACTGAAACTGAGAAGCCATTTAGCCATTTAATAATAGAAACAGAGGACATTCAGAAGATAATCTTTGCAGAGAGGACGAACAGCACAGAGCGTGATGTTTGGAGAGAAAGTGAAGCGGAAAGGAGAGAAAGAGAGATCTCTTCTCCCCCAACACAGAAAAGTAGAAGTTTCCATTTTGAGGAAGCCTTAAAACCTGGTCCTCCACCCAGACTGTGCATGTGTGACTGTGTGTACACTATGTCAGTGTGTGTGTGTTACACTGTGCCATTACGTATACGCATGTGAGGGTGTGTGTGTGTGTGTGTGTACCTGTGTGTGTGAGCGAGCTCCCTGTGTGTGATAAGGCTGTAATTACAGTGGTGCGGGGTGTGGGCAGCAGAGGGATGGGGAAGAGGAAGCGTCTCTGTGAGGAGATAAGCCCTGTGCTCATTGCGCTGCTGCTTCCGGCCCCGCTAGCCTCTGATGCTAATCCCTCCTCACCAGCCCTATGGGGATATAGCCGCTACACTATTCAACAGCTGGGGCTAGGCAATCACACTAGGCTGCCTACTGCACACACATACAGACTGTGCTATATACACAGACCAATAGAGAGCGGGGAGGAGAGAGTATTAGAGGGATATAGAGAGGGTGGGATACAGAGGGTGATGGTAATCGAAAGAGATGGAGAAGGATCAGTAAGGACAGTAGGCATTGAGGCCTTTTCCTGTTGGACTTCAATAGTGAACAGAACAAGTCAGTCAGACACATTGTACTTACCCAAAGGAAACCTAAGCTGAGACATTGGCCATTGTTAAACGTGTATATCCATTACTAATTCCCATGTCATTAGCCTTTAGCTACTTCAACCTTCCTGTGCACTAGTTCTATATGAATATGCTCCCTACATGCAGATACTGTATAGAATGGTATTGTCGCACTCGCACGGTGGTTAGTTCACTCCTGGACAATGAGACTCACATTCAAACAGAACTGAGCTATTACACTTAGCTCCGGAGCTGGCGACAAACAGGGGAGCCACCGGTGCAACTATTCAACATGAGACATGAGACATTGTCACTGACATACCCTGTCTGCTTTCGAAACCATGTTAGTGTATCTGGCCGATGGACAAGGTTAGCTGTGTGTGCGAGTGCATGGAAAGCATTTTGGTGTGTTTGTGTGTGGCGAGTTGTGACAGTCAAGACGGAAGGACACATGCTCCAGCTAATGCCAACACTCCACACCAGCCTGTTGTGTTACCATAGGGAGGTAATTGGTAGTGGGGGTGGGGAGGCCCTCTCTGGCATCCTCAGCAATTACATCCTGACATGGGCACAGAACAGGGCACGGGGTGGGTAAGGGGGCACTGGATATAGGAATAACCCAAACTAGTAGGGGATGTAAATCAAATGCATGACAACACACTCCTTTGAGAGTGAAAAGAGGGTGGGAGGAAAGAAGAGGTGTACATGTCATGCTAGCTTACATAATGGGCCTGAAGGCAGATAGAGAGATCTACTGTGACCCACTGCTTCTGCATTAACTGTACAACTTAATTGCAATAGTCAGCAGGACGAGTGGAATGTAACGAGAGAAAGTTCCTTTGGCTTTTTTGGAGAACAAAATACATTTGGGAGGTGAACACGTGTTTCACAAAGCCAAAGGGAATCGATGTCAATCAAATGGTTCCGACAGTCATTCATAATTAGCCATTAAACCTACAAACTATCACTATGCCAGTGTTGTAGTACTCG